ATTAAACGCTTGCGCTTAACCACAGATGCCAGTGAAAACGGTTAGGGATGGCACAGCCTCTAATCGTAGAAGATATTTCCACGTATGATGGATCACTGTGTAGAGCTGGTAAATCCGGTTTCAATGAGCGTACAGTGACAATGCTGCTAGAAGATGGAGAGAGGATAGAGGGAAATAACCCAAATGAACCAGTAGCATGCACGTCACGCGTGTGTGAGGATGACCTGAGAGTATGCGTGACTGAGATCCAGCTTGGAAAACTTTTGGCCGCCGGCTAAAGTCGCATGCAAGTCTGCAATACGTGATAGGGGATATTTTTCCACTTTCGACGCTTGGTTGGCTGTCAATTTGTAGTCTCCGCAAATACGGACGGAGCCGTCAGGTTTGAGTACAGGTACAATCGCAGTGCCCCAATCTGAATGTTGCAGACGTTGTATCTCTGCCTCAACTTTAGGGCGCATTGCATGGGGTAATGATCTAACTTTGTAAAATTTTGGTTCGGCACACTCTCGGAGTTTGATAGAAGCCCTGAAATGACGCATTTTCCCCAGTTTGTTTTCAAACAACGATGAGAACTCGTAAAATAATCCATTCAAACTGCAGTCTTCAACAATGAGTTGGTTGAGTTGCATGGTCTCGGGTAAGAACTGTATCCAGTCTGGACCCATGAGATTCGCTTTGTTCCCAGGTACAACGATTAAGGGTAGGGTGAATTCTCGCTCCCCATGCCTGGCTTTAACGAAACATCTGCCCAACGCCTTAATTGGATCACCTGTGTACGTCTGTAATCTCGAGTTGCACGGTAGCAAAGGTGGTAACCTTTTCATTGAACCGCGGTTTACAATGGCAACCGCCGCCTCGGTATCTAGCTCCATGTCTATCAGTTCATCCTCTATCGGCAAACGTATTGTGTAAGGAGGACAGGTTTTGAGTGTCACATTGTTCAAGTACACGGAGTTAAGCTCACAGTTCAAATTTTCTAGGAGCTTATTTTCCCGTAGCTCTACCTTGCTTCGACGATTTGATGAGGCGATGTTCGTGGGGCGAGAACTTTCCGATCTACAGAC